GGGTGGCTGGGAGGGCCTGGGGGAGTCAGGTGGTGCCTGGGGATGGCTGGAGGCACCTAAGTGGGTTCCAGGGGTGGCCAGGGGTGCCTGGGAGGCACAAGGAAGGGGATGCCTGGGGGACACAGGGGGGTGGGGAGCACGAGGGGAGGCCAGGTGGCACTGGGGGGTGCCCGGGGGGTAGTCACCCCTAACGCGGCTGCACTCCCAACACCTGCACGCCCTCAGCAAGCACCTGCCGGGCTGACCCAAGCCCTGTCCCACCAACAGACGCTGCGAAGCCCAACGCACGGGAAGCTGGCATCTTGTGTGGACAAGAATGTTCTCAAGAGCACAGCTTTCCAGAAAGGCAGTTCTTGAGGGAAACATCGCCTAGAAGCCACCCCGCAAGCCGGGGCCATTTCCTAACGGTGTCGTGACAAGCCCCAGGCGCAGAACTGATTCTAGGAGAAGGAAGTCCCTTCCATCTTCTGAATTTGACACCAAGCGTTCACTCATACGACACCTGTTTCACAGCAACACGTCCAGGGCGTCTCTTTGTCAAGCTGCAGCTTCTTGCTGCTCACCTCACCCTGGGGCCTCCCCAGTCCCATCCCCCGCAGAAAGACGTGGACTCTGGGCCACGCAGAGCCCGTGTAAGAGCAAGCACACCACCACAGAGACCCGTGTGGGCTACAGCCCCTTCCCCATGCCCACCAGGGACTCACCGCCTCGCCAGGACAGAACGACGCGCTGGGATTAGCGCCTGGTCCCACAAAACACTCCATCCAACGGCAAGGAGATGGCTGGGTTCCGGTTACCATGTTTATTTCTCCAGCCCCGGTTTCACCCTCGAGGTCTGGGACTGAAAAACCATACCCAGTACGTGTATTTGTAGATAAGCTCACTGGTCCACTAGTGGCATAGCCAGGCCTCGTTATCACCCCCCAGAGCCTAGATGGCACGTGTTCCTCTTCAGGGCCTCAGGCTCTCCGAACACCATGTAGAGAATCCTCCGTAAGCTCACGGAGCACACGGTGGACTCACACCAGCTGGCACACAGGCGGACCAGCTCCCCGCCGGGGCTGGCAGCGCACTGCTCCAGCACAGGACCAGCCCCCCGCTGCCCCTGCGCCTGCAGCCACCCGCAAAGCACCTCCTCGACCTTACAGACCGGCCAGCCGGCTCCCCGTTCCTCACATTCCTGCAAGGTCCGGGGTGCACACAGAGTTCGCACTCGGCCTGTGAAACGTGGGGCCGCGCTGCGCGCACACAGCCGGTACACGGGCGCACCATCGTGTCAGGTGTCTTCTCCCTTCTACTTCGCATGATGGCAATTTCTCCTACAAACCAGTTAGACTTTCTGGATCATCTCCGAAGTTGCCATTTACCTCAGAAGCCTTTCTTGGTGCTGAAAATGACTGTCTTCTCAGCCTGGCCAACCCTCTCAATCGTGATCTGTGCTCACGGGAGCCGTGGTCGGCACAAAATACAATTCACACAGCTAGTTTCATAAGAGAGTACATAAATAACATTCCTCTCCTCCCTGGGTAAGGAGACCCCCCCCCCCCCCCGGTGGAGGGACAGGCCGACGGCTGTGAGCAGAGACCTACACGGTCCCAGGGTGGTGACAAATGCGAGCCACCGTGGGCCCTGCCCAGCAAGAACGCTACACAGAAGCATCGCCCATGATGCACATGTAAGAGCAGAGGAGCAGCCTGCGTGCGGCCAGGGGGACCCCGGGGCCAGCCTCTGTCAGCACTGACCGCCAGCCTCCAGGGATGTGGGGACCACGGGAGGGCACCGCTGTCACTGTACAGCCAGCCCCCACAGCCAGGCACGCCCACCCCAGGTCCCAGGTCCGGCCAGTATTCTTCTATGAGATTCTGGAAGCAACTCCCAAAACCACTGCCCGTGGCCACCTCTGGACGTGACCAGACCCCAGGTCACTGTGTGCTTCTGCAGCGGCTGAGTTTTCTCTCCTCCACACCAGGTACAAAAACTGACTTTGGGTTTTTATCACTTGAATTTTTCATCGTCAGCATATACCAATGTAATTCGGATAAATGAACGTTAAAGACTTTGGGCCCACGCGGTCTGTGCTTCCGAGCCAGCCTCTTGGAGAAGGGCGGCGGGCCTCCGCCCTCCCGCACCCCGGCCGGGGATGCGCTGCAAGGACACCGACAGCAGCCTTGCACGCCTCCGGGTGAAGAGACATGCTCATGAGATGAAAAGCCAGCTACTTATTACCAGGGAATCAGGCTTATTTTCATTTGCTGCTGGAAAATACAAGGGCTTTTTTAAGCACAGGAATTACAGCGTTTTGTCTCAATTTCCTTTTCAAACGTACGCAAATATTTATTTGTGTTCTGGACACAGGAGACCCGGGGTACAGTCGACGGCAGAGCAGCCAGGCTCCAGGTCTGGGCCCCCGCGGGTCCCACACGCCTCCAAGCCCCTCCTGCCCTCCCACAACCCGCTTCCTCAGGGGCCCCGGCCACCAGACACCGCGGCCCTGCCTTCTCATGCCCCAGCCCGCTGACCCCCCCCCCCAAGGCCCCCATGCCCTCCTGGCCCGGAGTGGCCCCCGCTCCCCCATCCCTCCTCTACGCCCTACCCCTAGCCCCTCCGTGCCCCAGTCTCCCCACCCCCCCACACACCCCTGCCTCTAGACCTCCTGCCCCCTGGGTCCCCCCCATGTCCTTAGCCCCCTCTGGATTCCCTGCCCCCAGCCCTCCCCATTCCCAGGGCCCCCCATTTCCCCGGCCCCCCAACTTGTCTGCCATCTCCTGCCACCACGAGTGTCAAGAAAGCAGCAGAACAGCACACCGTGCTCCTGCCGGGCACAGGACTGGCGCACAAACCCAGCCAGCAGGCCACCCTCAACAGTGGCATTTCCGCCTCATGCCCACACGCACGTGCCAAGGGCTGAGGCAGGCACAAGGCACCCAGGCGCCCAGGGGCCTGGCTCCTGTCAACTCTGAACGGAGACACACAACACGATGAGCGAAAAGACACAAGTCTTTCCGGAACACGACGTCAGGCCCTCCCACCAGAGACGCAGGTTGGGGGGCAGGCCTGCGGCAGCAGGCTGCATGCCCAGATGCCCACTCCGTGGCCCATGGCTCACCTGTCAGGGTGGCCATCACTGTCCCTGGCCTGCTGCCCGTCCCTAGGCCCCATGCCCACCTCCCCCCCCAAGTCAACAGGCTCAAGCTGGTGCCCCAAACCCTGCTGGCGCTCCTGGGCCTCCAGCGGAGGGAAGCTGCCGCGCCATCGCCCCTCATCCTCCGTGCCAAAGCCCGCCCGGCTGGGCCCTCCCCGTCCCCTCAATCTGTCCTCCTTCACGGTGACCCAGGACCTAACTCCAGCCCCCTCCAGGCTTCCACAGAGTCCCCAGGACTCTGCAAAGCTGGGGCCCCAGCCCACCCCCTTCAACCCAAGAGGCTTGGTCCCCGCCTGTGCCTACAGGCTTTGACCTTACACTTAGCTCCACCTGCTGAGATTAGCCACTACGGCCTCCCCTAAAACACTGGCTGCCAGGGTCACCTTCCCAAACTCAGACGTCACACCCCCACTCGAGAAATACAAGGTAGCTAGAGAAAAGGCCGAATGCCTTTCCCTGGGCTACAACCCCGTTCCAGCCCGACCCACCAGCCCTGCTGAGCCTGGGTTCCAGCCACACCTGGCGTCCCTAGCTGTCAGGACGGGGACAGCACTCCACTCCACGTCCTGGTGCCGTCCGTCAGCCCAAGCTACCCCACGACTGCCACGGTGCCCACCCCCCCACTGCAGCAAAGGACCCGGCAGAGGCTGCTCCTGTGGAAGGGACCGTCAGAGGAGATGGCAGCGGTCGTGACTGCATCTCCAGACCACCACGGACTCTGAGACGACCTCCCAACAAAGAGCCATTCGGTTAATGGAGAAGCGTGGTTTCCGGAACACACAAGCCCAGAGCCGCACCCCAGCAGCGGCTCCCTCCAAGACGCCTACTTCCCTGCGCTGGGCACCCCCCCTCCCCGCTGGGCACCCCTGGGGTGTAAATCCCAGAGAACAGGGCACGGCCAGCAGCACATGCAACCAGAGGCGATGACCGCAGCCTCACATCGTGTCCAGGTTGGGATCTGAACTTCAGCCACAGTACACAGGGTGCAGGTATGCACTCACACACCCTGCCGAACGAAACCCAGCGCTGGAGGGCGGAGGGCCTGACAGCGCATGCCTGACGCTCACTGAGAGCGAGGCTCGCGTTCAGTTAGGCTTCTCAGGGAGCACGAACACCTCTGAACTGACAGTAGGGCTTAACACCCAGGATCTGGCCCCACAGACATGAGGCACGTTTTCGGGACATGTGTCTAGACTGTATTTCCCAGCTGCCTGGCAGGTAAGAAACAAACACCCCCTTTCCCTGATGCTGACAGGACCACGCACAGTGAGCAGCCTGGGCTTCGGGAAGTGCAGCAAAGAACTACAGGATCAATAAAACACGCTATTTTTGAACCTAAAAGCCTGTTTCCTGGAATAAGTCTTAAAAATTATTCAACGTACTCTACACTTTCATGACAAATCCAGAAAAAGCTAAAGTAGAATTTTTCACATTTCATGAGTCACCAAACTTCATTTTTCTGAGGAAAAAAAAAGTGGCCAAAGCAAGTGCGTAGCCCTTTATGGACTGAAGGTGGATTAAGCGCCTGTGCGCCACCCAGAAGCGGGGCGGGGGCCAGGGCACCCAGGCCCAGCCCCAGTCCCCGCACCTGACCTCAAGTAACCAGCCGCGCGCTCACACACCGGGAGCACCAAGAAAACGTCCGCGGTGTCACTCGGGCCCGCAGGAGCGACACACGCCGTCCTCGGGGCCCGGCGGGTCCCCTCCATCCTTCCGGCTTGAACCTGCTTCACCTGCCCCGAAGGTCCGCACAGACACTGTCCCGCAGCGCGGGCGTCGCGGCTCTGAACCGCGGGGGGAAGGCAGGGCGCCTGGGGTGCAGGGAAACGCGTCTGCAGCGCGAAGCGGACGCACTCACATCTTTTGCCATGTTACCAGATCCGTGAAGTCGAGGCTATAAAGGTTCACCCTCCAGAGAAGACGGATTTTCCTGGTAAGAAAAGAACGAAACAAGAAATGAGTAAGAACGGGAAAGCAAGTTAATAAACCATCCACGCCTGCCCCCCCCGCCCCCGCCCCGGCCCCGCCAGCCCCGAGGGGCCCCCGGGTAGCAGGCGCCCTGCTCTCCAGACCCGCAGCCCACCCTGGGGGCAGCTGCCTGCCGGCCCCGCCCGAGGGCAGAGACAGCGCCCCCCCACCCCCCAAGACCCACACAAAGACCCGGCCACCCCCGGCCACCGTGACAGGTGGGCTTCCGGCCCGGCGGGCCTGTCACCCGGCCTCCGCCGCCGCGCGCGCGCGCGCGCGCTCCTCCCGCGCCGGAACCGGCAGTCGGGTCAGCGCCGCCCCCACCCCGCGCCTCGCCCGCGGGGTCCCCGACCCCGCGCTCGGGCCGACCCCGGCCCCCGACCCCCGACCCCGCTGGGCGCTCGCGCCGCTGCTCCGCGGAACGCCCGCCCGCGGGCCCCGGGTCCCCGCCCGCGACCCCGCCGGGCCACCCGGGGGCCGCCGACGGCGGCGCGGGCGCGGGGGGCCCGGGGCCCAGGACGCGGGAGCCGCAGACCCGGCGCGCACACGCGGCGGGAGGGCGGCGCGACCGGGGCCGGCGCCCGCGCGTCTGCGCCCCCCGCGGGACCCCGGCCCGCCGCACCTGGCTCGCTCCGGCGCGCGGGCACGGGCGGGGTCCCGGCGGCGCGCTCGGCCCCGGGGTCCCTGCCCTGCGAGGCGCCGGCGCGCGGGGCTCACCCTGCGAGCGGGCGACGGGCGGCGTGACGTGCGCGGCGCGGCGACGTGACGTGGGCGGCGGGCCGGCTCCCGCAGCGCGCCTGCGCGCCTTTTCGCGCCTTCGCCGCCCTACTCGCCCTCCTCCTCCTCCCGCCGGTGCGGCCCGCGCGCTCCGAGGGGGATGGGCTGCGCGCGGGCGGGTGCGGGTGCGTATGCGCGTGCGCGCCGGGCGGGGACGGAGACGGAGAGCCCGGCGCGGAGCCGCCGCGGTGCGCGCGCTCTTGGAGAGGGCCCGGCGGTGTGCGCACACCTGGAGAGGAGCCGGAGGTGTGCACGTGCCGGTGTGCGCGCGCACTGGGAGAAGAGTTGGCAGTGTGTACGTGCCGGTGTGCGTGCACCCTCGGAGAGGGGTCGGAGGTGGGCGCACACCTAGAGAAGGGCCGGGTCTGTGCACGTGCCAGTGCGCGCACAGACTTGGAGAGGGGCCAAGCGTGTGCAGGGGTGGAGGAGAGGGGTCCGGGTGTATGTGGGCCAGGGAGAGAGGAGGCCAGGTGTGTGAATGTGCACACGGGTGTATTTGTGGGTGTGTGTTCACGCAGGCGGAAGGAGGGTAGATTTTGTACGCACAAGCGTTTATGTGGAGAGGGGATTGGAGTGTGCACGTGCGAGCGTTCATGCCCTTGGAAGAGAGAGGCGGAGGTGTGTGCATGTGTGATTGTGCGCGCTCAGAGGAAGGAAGGCCGGATGTGTGCGCACGTGGAGAAGAGGTGGTCAGTGTGTGTGCGCCCGTGTGCATGCGTACTTGTGGAAGAGAAAAGCCAGCTGTTTGTGCAGTGAACATATCTGCGCATGTGCGGTGTGTGCTCGCACGGTGCTGAGGGCCCTTTGCACCGGTGCCCCCCTGTCCCTGCGGGCACAGCGATCTTCATGCCCACACCCGGCCCGTGCCCGAGTCCCTGCCTCGGGGTTGGGGTGCTCAGGAGGAAAAGCAGGCAGCCGCTTGTCTCCTCATCGCTGGGTAGGCCCGGTGGACCCCAAGTCCTGGAGACTTGTCCTCCCTGGAGGCCACCACCAGCCGGGCCAGGGCCCCAGGGGGCGAGAGACCCAGCAGAGGGCAGGCTGGAGCCCGGAGTTCAGGGCTGCATCACAGTGGGCAGCGAGGGGCGCAGAGCAGAGGCCTCTGTGCGCTGTAGGGGCCGCCGTGTTCTGTCACACCCTGGTCCTGCTTCCCACCCGCTGCCTGACGCCCCTGATGCTGCTTCCCCTGTTCACACCTACTCAGCATTGGTTTCTTCTCAAGACAGCAGAAATCTGCACCTTCTTTGTGCTGATTGGCACACAATGGACACCAAAGAAACGTGGAGGGTGGAGGGGGTGGGGGCGAGGCAAAGTCCCGCCCATTCCTGCCTGCAGAGTGGTCTTACTTCTCTGCTGGTGCAGTTTTTTACAGCTCAAGGCCCCTCAGCAGGTTCCTGGGGGATCAGAACCCACACCCTCAATGTTGTCCCTCTAGTGGCCGCATGTCCTAGCCCCATTTTCCTTGCTCACTATGTCTAGTTTTTACTGTATTTGAATATTTGCCCACAGGCGGCAGCCGAAAGGCCCCACCGCGGCCCTTGGACCCCGGTGCGCAGGGCAGCCAGCCTCTCGGTGAGAGCAGGGGCTCAGGAAGAGGCAGGAACGGAACCTTAAAAGCCCGGCGAATTCCAGATTCTGGTCATTCAACAGTATTCACGTGGGACAGCCACCCCCAACCTTCTGAGTAATGTCTGTACAGAAATCACTGTCGTGAATGAACTATGCTTGCGAACGAACTCACAAGAGCTCCCACAGCAGTGAGAGAGGCTCTGGTTTCCTTGGGAAAAGGGCAAAAAATGGATCGGGGTTTTTATTTTTTGCCTCCTGCTGAACACCGGTTTCTGTGTTCAGTTAGCATAATTTCTAAAATTTTTGTTGAAGATCCAAACGTTTGTGGCCACTGCCCTGCCTGGAGGTCTCTAGACTGGGCTGCAGAAATGCCACCTTCTTGATGAGCACTGAGCCTGTGACTGCGCGGCCGCCCAGCCACCCAGCACCCATCTGTATCTGGGGCGCGTGTTGTCAGGAAGCGCGACTCGGTGCTTCTGTCCGGGCGCTGAATACGCACCTCTCGGGAGCTGGCGTTCAGCCGTGAGTCCTCAGGCACCGCGCGGAAGCGGTCCTGTTCGGTGTTTATGAGAACAAAATGATTATATCCTTGCCAGGAAAAGTCCTCGTCTCCCCAGAGCCCCCTTTTTCTTTGTATGCCTGCCCTGTTGAGTCTCAGGGCGTGACACAGACCCTACCCCCACACCCTTACCCCCACTGAGCTGTCCTTTACAGAGAGAATGTTTTCTAATCCCTTGAAAACTGTCATGCTGAGTGTTTGTTCAGTTTGCCTTTGGTTCCCGCCTTGATGACACTGCTCCTGTCTTCAGCCGCGTCGCTTTCCATCTTCCAGGGCTGCCAAGAAGGGGGGCAGACAGGGGCTCATGGAAGTCATGTAGGAGAATTCCCAATATGGACAAGGGACATTTTCTCTTTTTTGGTAAAATCTACAGGTATCTTTAGAAAACTTTGTTCTGCTTATTGTGTGGATCATAAAATAGAAGTAAATCAGTGTGCTTACTCAACTTGATGGTACATCCCTGGCCCTCTCCGGAGAGGTCACTGCTCCTCAGCCCCGGTGACAGGTGCTGCAGCCCCCACCCCTCCACCTCCACACACGAGGCACCCTTCTCGTCCTGTGTCATGAATTATTTTGAAAACATCCGGCCATATTCAGAGTCCTCCTGGGTACGATGCTCCAAGCATTGACTCACATCTTTTTTTGTTTGTTTGTTTACAAATAGTTTATTGTCAAGTTGGTTTCCATATAACACATCTTAAAAGACTCGCACGCTCGTTTGCAGGCTGAAGCCCCAGCCCTTTGGCAAGAACCCCACAGACTGAGTCTAGACCGAAGCATCTAATTCACTCCGATTATCTCCCTAGCCTGTGTACTGCTTAGACGCTTGCCCTTTACTCTTTCCCTGCAGTGTTCTCTGACTTCTGCGGTGAGAGAAATACCCATTGGTCTTCCCCACTTAACTCCACAGTCCTAGAGGCCTCGTCTGTGAGACTTCACACTGCCCTGGCTCAGAAAGTCGACAAGATTGGGGGCGCCTGGGGGATCCGTCGGTTAAGCATCTGACTCTTGATTCCAGATCAGGTCAGGATCTCACAGTTTGTGGGTTTGAGCCCCGAGTCAGACTCTGCCCTGAGCCCAGAGCCTGCTTGGGATTCTCTCTCTCTGCCCCTCCCCTACTTGCTCTCTCTCAAAATAAATAGAAAACTTAAAAAAAAAGAAAAGAAAGAAATATCCGTGTCCTCCTGTGTCGTCTCCTTCCTCCATAGAATCCAGATGCCATCACGGGGCGTGAAAGCACCAGAGCCTATGGCCGTTTTGGGAAACTCGCTTTTATGTTCCACTGAAAGCCTTCAGTCACTTCCCTGCTACCTGCCCGCTCACCTTGCAGGCCAGGGAGGGGCCTCGCAGCCCACCTGCCCCGGTGAAGCGGGGAGGAAGAGCCAGACGGCCTCGGATAATCTCAGACCCTTTCGACGCTCAAATTCCTGTAGCCGAGAAATAGGTAGATAGAAACCTAGCTCTTTGATGAGAAGCCACACCACAGTTTCAAAGCTTTCTCTTCCTGCATCGCTCGCTGCCCACGCGCCGAGTGCCCGTATGGTACAGACGCACGAGGTAGAGGACTGCGGCACGAGGAGAGATTCACATGCGATCTGGGCTCAGAAGCAACACGCGGGGGCCGAGGTGGGGCTGCCCCGCGGCCTGGCCGGGGCGCCGCGGGCACCAGGCAGCGTGAAACGGCCCGGATGGAGTTGCTGTCCTAGAGTCAAAATCGCGTGGGGGGCCTCAGAACGGGTGGGCTTCCTCCAGTCTCCACTTCTTTCTGGTGGGGGGGACGCGGGCTGCCCTGGGGGTGGAGGGGGCAGCTCCTGCCTCCTGCCAACACTTAGCGAGAGCGTATTTCCTAGACGTGAGGAGTTAATGCAGATGCGGCCTCCAGCATGCAAGTGTTTGCCACACAGCTTTACTGGAGACGCTGAGGGTCCTTGGGGACGCAGAGGAGCCAGGTCGGACCCAAGAGCCCCAACCCTGAGCGCGGGGCCAGGACGAGGAAGAGGGGGATGGGCAGCTGGGGCAGGAGGGCCACACAGGGCAGCTTCGGGGACGCGTTTCTGGCAGCGGCACTCCAGGCCCGGCGCAGAAATCGGGACGTCACCAGGCGGCCGAGAGGGAACCTCCACACACGCACACCCAGGCCTTCTCCGGTGTGGGTTTGCCGCCCTCTAACTAGAGCACACACTCCGCTGGGGAAGACCATTTAGAGCCTTGGCTTCATGGCCACCCTGACAGGCCCCCGATGCGAGGCTGCAGGCACGTGGCCTCCCGGTGAGGCAGATGCCATCGGGGACAGACGATCCTGGACTCCTGACCCTTCCACCAAACAGTCCCTCCGTCCAGCCCCCCCCCCAGCGCAGGGAGTGAACTGTGTCCGCCCCGTTCCTCACACCAGAAACCCAGCTGGCGGTCACACGCCTCACTTGTCCTCGGTAACGAAAACAGGTCACCAATTCGAGATCCCTTGAATTCTTCCACTTTTTTTCATCTCCTCTGCCACCCCCGTCACACTACTGTCCTCTGGTCTGAGGGCTAGAAAGTAACTCCTCTCTTTTTCCTTCTTCCGATATTGTCGCACCCAACCTCCTATCTATTCAAGAACCAGAGTGCACTGTGTGGGACAGTGGTGGATGGAAGAGTCGTAGGTGCACCTGGATCCTGCTGTCCCACACGGTGTAGACAGAGTCTGCAGGGACCTCACCCTGGAGAAGGACGCAGGTGCACCTGACACTCTCAGTGCACTGCTATCCCATGCGGTGTAGACAGAGTCTGCAGGGGCCTCACCCTGGAGGAGGATCCAGGTGCACCTGACACTCTCAGTGCACGGCTGTCCCACGCAGTGTAGACAGAGTCTGCAGGGACCTCACCCTGGAGAAGGATGTAGCTGCACCTGACACTCTCAGGACACGTCTGTCCCACACGGTGTAGACAGAGTCTGCAGGGTCCTCACCCTGGACAAGGGTCCAGGTGCACCTGACACTCTCAGGGCACGTCTGTCCCACGCGGTGTAGACAGAGTCTGCAGGGACCTCACCCTGGACAAGAGTCCTGGTGCACCTGACACTCTCAGGGCACATCTGTCCCACGCGGTGTAGACAGAGTCTGCAGGGGCCTCACCCTGGAGGAGGATCCAGGTGCACCTGACACTCTCAGGGCACTGCTGTCCCACGCAGTGTAGACGGAGTCTGCAGGGACCTCACCCTGGAGAGGGATCCAGGTGCACCTGACACTCTCAGTGCACGTCTGTCCCACGCAGTGTAGACAGAGTCTGCAGGGACTTCTCCCTGGAGAGGGATCCAGGTGCATCTGATACTCTCAGTACACGGCCATCCCACGCGGTGTAGACAGAGTCTACAGGGACCTCACCCTGGAGAGGGTCTAGGTGCACCTGAGACAAATGTGTGCTCTGCTGTTTGGGTTGAGTTTTCTGCATGTCAGTTAGGTCCAGCTGGTCTCTAGGCTGGCCCAGGACCCCGGTGTCCTTGTTGGGTCTGCCGTGGTGTTCTGCCCATTCCTGGAGGTCGGGTATGGACGTCCCACATGTTATGGTCGAACTGCCTGTTTCTCCCTTCAAGTCTGTCAGCGCCTGCCTTGTTTATTTAGAAGCACGAATGTTCAGTGGGACTACATAGTATATGTATTTTTTTAAGTTTTATTTATTTAAGTAATCTCTACACCCCACGTGGGGCTCCCGCTCACCACCGAGATCCAGAGTCGCACACTTCTCTGACTGAGCCAGGTGCCCCTCGTGTGGATATCTCTGTATTTATCATTGTTTTTTCTTCTTGTGAACTCACCCTTTTGTCGCTGTTACAAGAGACAACGAAGGACAGTATATTATTATCATCACATAATGTGCTTTGTTTCCTGTAATAATTTTTTACTTAAAATCTGTCTTGTCTGCTATCAGTGTTGCCACCCCAGTGAAGTCGTTTTCCATTCTTTCACTTCCACTGTGGACGTGTCCTTGGATCAAGAGTGGCACTTTTCGAGACAGCAGGTGCTTGGGTCCTGCCTGTTGCCCCCTCTGCCAATCTATGACTTTTGATGGGTGAGTTTAATGCATTTATAGAAGTATGCATCATTTGCTCAATAGGTAGATTTATAATTATTCTTGTGCATTCGCCTTTAAAATAGGGTAGGAAATAAAAGGTGAAGTTAGAGGCCGAGAACACAGCAATTCACCCCTGTGCTCACCCTGCTGCGGGCCTGTTGCTTCCCAGGGCCTCGGGCTGTGTCTCTGTGTTTCCAGCCCGCCCCCCGGGGCGCCCCAGCTCCTCCTGTAGGACCGCTCTGCGCAAGTAAACGCTCTGCTTTTCTCTCTCTGAAAATATCCCACTTTCTCCCTTAGATTTTCAGCACAGTTTTTCTGGATACAGAATTCTGGATCGGCAGGTTGTATGCCGTTGTTTCCTGGCTCTAAATATGTCGCCATGCTGCCTCTGGCCTCCATGACTTCTGATGAGAAACTGGCTCTTAGTCTCACTGAGGATCCCTTGTAAGGGAGGAGTCACATCTCAGAGCTCTCAAGATTTTCTGACTTTGTCTTTGAGTTTGATTATCATGTGTTTCAGTGTGAGGCTCTTTGAGCTTACCCTGCTTTGAGTTAATTGAGCTTCTCGGATTTATACTCATATCTTTCCTCAAATTATACACCATGACCAAGTGGGGTTTATTCCAGAGATGCAACATTTTTTCAGTGTAAGAAAATCAATGTAACACATCACATTAATAGAACTACACACACACACACGCGCGCGCGCGCGCGCAGATATCTGTTAGACACTTCTATGTCAATGTTCATTGCAGTATTGTTCACAAGAGTCAAAAGGTGGAAACAATGTAGGTGTCCATCAACAGATGAATGCATAAATAAAATGTGGTGGATAGAGAGATAGATAGATACATACATACATACGTACATACATAAAATGGAATATTATTCAGCCATATAAAGGAATGAAATTCTGACACATACTACTATGTAGATGAACCTTGAAATTACTATGGTAAGTGAAATAAGACACAAAAGGACAACTATTGTATGATTCTACTTACATGAAATATGTAGAATAGGAAAATTAATAAAGATAAAAGGTAGATTAGTGATTACCGGTGTCTGAAGGTAGGAGAACACTGGGGACTTACTATCTAATAATTAAAGAGTTCCTGTTTTGGGTCATGCAAAAGTTTTGAAATAGATAGTGGTGATGGTTGCACAACATTGTGAGTTTAATTAATAACATTGAATTGTACACTTAAAAAAGGTAAGATGGCAAATTTTATGATGTATATTTTGCCACAATTTTAGAAATTAATAATATACCAAAAGCCATTGTCTTGTACATTTTAAATGGATGAATTGATGGCACATGAATTGTAATCTCAATAAAACTATTTTCTTTAAAAAAGCTATAAAGGCAGTTTGGGGCACAGCGGCGGAAAATAATATATGTTCCAAATATTAGATAGAGAAGACATTGTTATTTTGCTGGTGTGACAAGGGTATTATGATAGTGTAGGGGGTTATCTTTTTTCTCAGAGGAGGCACGGTGATAAACTATCTAAGCTGATAAACATAACTCAGCATTTTGATGCCAATACTTTCCTTTTGAAATGTTCAGGAAGAAAAACGTGCGTGTGTGTCTTTCAGATGGCAGAGGAGGGGCAGGAGGAAGAGAGATAAAGGAGTGAGGGGCAAATATGGCAAAATGATAAAAATTGTTTAGACATGGGTGTGTATGCTATTTGCTCGGCTTCACTGTATTTTGAAACTTTCAGAATAGCTGGGAGAAAACCCCATTCTATTCAACATTAGTCAGAAGGTTCTAACCAATGCAATAAGGTAAGAAAAAGAAATTATGAAGAATAAATATTGAATAGGAAGAACTTACACTGTCTTTATTCCTAGATATGATTGCACATGTGGAACATCACAGGAATCTATTAGAACCGGTACATTTAGCAGATTCTCTAGATATAAGATCTGTGCAATAAAATCAGTGTTTCTAGGGGTGCCTGGGTGGCTCAGTCAGTTAAGTGTTGACTCTTGATTTCAGCTCAGGTCATGACCTCATGGTTTCATGGGATCAAGGCCCACATTGGGCTCTGTGCTTGGGATTCTCTCTCTCCCTCTCTAGCTGCCCTCCCTCAACTTGTGCGGTCTCTGTCTCTCTCAAAATAAATAAATAAACCTTAAAACAATTTTAAAAAGTCAATGTTTCTATATAATAATAACTATCGGAAAAAATTTTAAATATTGTTTAAAATAGCATGAATAATATCAACTTATTGGGAGTTAATTTATATGTGCAAAGTCTTATAGGAAAAAAAATATAAAACACTGCTTAAAAAATCTAAAGTAAAGGGGTGACTCCATGGCTCAGTTGGCTAAGTGTCCAATTTCAGCTCAGGTCATGATGTCACGATTTGTGGGTTCAAGCCCCACATCAGGCTCTGTGTTGACAGCTAGCTCAGAGCCTGGAGCCTGTTTCAGATTCTGTGTCTCCCTCTCTCTCTGACCCTCCTGTTCATGCTCTCTCTCTCTCTCTCTCTCTCTCTCTCTCTCTCAGAAATAAATAAAACATTAAAAAAAAATCTAAAGTAGACCCAACACTTGGGGATACATCATATTCCGGGATTGGGTGACTCAGCATTGTTAAGCTGTCCATTCTCTCCAAACCAATCTATAGACTCAATGCCATCTCAGTCAAAATCTCAGCATTATTTTTGGAAGAAATTAAAAACCTGATTGGGGTGGGGAGACTTCACTTTTATAGCAGTTTTAGGTTCATAGCAAAACTGAGCAAAGTACAGAAAGCTCTCAGATACCCTCTGCCCTGCACCTACACACAGCCTTCCCCACAATCCAAACCCTGCCCCAGAGTGGTACATTTGCTACAATCAGTGAACCTACATTGATGGCAGGATCACCCAAAGTCCATGGCTCACACTGGGGTTCGCTCTTGGTGCTGTACATTCTATGGTTTTGGCAAATGTATGACACGTATCCCCCATTATAGAATCGTGCTGATACTGCCCCAAAAAGCTTCTGTGTTCTGCTTCTTCATCCTCCCTGCCCACTGCCTCTTGGCAACCATTGACCTTTTTACTGTCTCTTGTTTTACCTTTTCCAGAATGTCATATACTTGGAATTATACACCATCTGGCCTTTCAGACTGTTTCTTTCGCTTCGCAGTAAGTTTCCTCCAGGTCTTCTCATGGCTTGACAGTATATTTTAGTGCTAAATATTCAGTTATCTGCATGCACCACAACCCGTTTATGCATTCATCTCCTGAAGGACGTCTTAGTTGCTTCCTGGGTTTTGCAATCATGAATAAAGGTGCTATAAACATGCAAGTGCAGCCTACTGTGGGGACATGTCTTCAACTCATTCGGGTAAACATCAAGGACGATGATTGCTGGGGCATTTGGGAGGAGCAGGCTTCGTTTTGCTGCTGATGGCCCAACTGTCGTCCAAAGCAGCTGCAGCTTTCCCACCAGTGGCGGGTGGCAGGCCCACCTTCTCGTCGGCATTGGTGCCGCGGTGGGAGCCGCCCGTTCCAACAGGTGTGCCGTGGAATCCCGTTGTTGGTTTTGTTTTAATTTGTGATTCCCTAATGGCATGTGATGTGGAGCATCTTTTCATTATGCTAATTTGCCACATATATTTATGGGCGTCTATTTCCATGCTCTGTATTCTGTCCCATTGATCTACTTGTCTGTTCTTCTGCTAATACCACGCAGTCCTGATTACTGTAGCTTTACAGTAGCTCTTGACGTTGGATAGCGCCAGTCCTCAAACTTTATTGTTCTCCTTTAAGATTGTATTGGCTATCCTGAGTCTTTTGCCCGTACATATAAATGTTAGAATCAGCTTGCCAACATCTACACAAAAACTTGCTGGGACTTTGATTGGGATTGCATTGAATCTATAGATAAAGCTGGGAAGAACTGACAGGCTGACATGAATTCCATTTCATGAACATTATATCTCCCCATTTATTTAGTTCTTTGATATCTTTCGAGTTTTATAGTTTTTCTCATGCAGATCTTACACATATTTTTGTTAAGTTTATACCTAAGTATTTCATTTGGGGGATACTAATGTAAGTGATATTATATTTTTTTATTTAAAACTCCACTTGTTCATTGCTGGTATCGAGGTAAGTGACTGACTCTTGTATACTGACCTCGTATCCTGTAACATTGTTATAATTGCTTATTAATTCCAAAGTTTTTTGGCAACTATTTTGGGTTTGCTACATAGACAATCATGTCATCTGCGAACAAAGATACTTTCTTTCTTACCAATCTTTATACCTACTTTTCTTTCTTTCTTTCTTTCTTTCTTTCTTTCTTTCTTTCTTTCTTTCTTTCTTTCTTTTTCTTTCTTTCTTTCTTTTTCTTCCTTCCTTCCTTCCTTCCTTCCTTCCTTCCTTCCTTCCTTCCTTCCTTCCTTCCTTTCTTTCTTTCTCAAAATTTAAAACTCTTGCTCACCAAAAGCAAGTTTAAAAGACATCTATAGACTGGGGAAAGTATTCACAGTAGATATATCTTTCTTTTTACGTTTATTTATTTATTCTGATGGGGGTAGGAGCAGAGAGAGAGAAAGAGAGAGAGAGAGAATCCTAAGCAGGCTCTGCACTGCCAGCTGCCAGTGTGGAGCCCAACATGGGGCTCAACCCCACGGACCATGAGATTATGACCTTAGCTGAAATTCAGAGTTGGCCACTTAAACAACTGAGGCCACCCAGGTGCCCAAACAGTAGAGTATCTAATAAAAAAAACTCATACCCAGAATACACCAAGAACAATGCCAAATCAGTAAGTAAAACAAAAAGCACTCGGTTAAAATTGTCAAAAGACTTGAACTATGTTAATTATGTTAAAGAAGAAATCCCAATGGCTAAGAAGCATGTGAAATGTTAGCAACTTCTTTAGCAATCAGGAAAATGCAAATTAAAGCCACAGTAGGGTACCATTTCACGCCCAAAACCGAGGGATTGATAACAAAAACTGTTGGCCAAAATGTGGTATGCCTGGAACTGTCATGCCCGCAGGGAGGGGGAAAATGTTAAAATCTCTCTGGAAAACCGATTGGCATTTTCTAATGGAGCCAAGCATACAAGCGCCACAATCCAGCAACTGCACTCCCAGAATATCCCCGAGAAGGGTGAGGACACGTGTCCATCAGGAGACATCTTCTGCGACGGTCACAGGACGCTGTGTGTAATGGCCCCGGTGCCCCTGCAGCGGAAAGAAAAGGTAAGCCGTGATGTAGTCACTTGGCAGGAAGGTCCGTGGCCACAGGCAACAGTTGGGTCCAATTCTTCACACTGCTTTGACCAAAAGTCACCCGAGGCAAAAGACTGCATCTTGTAGGAGTCCATTACTACGAAGTACCAAGCGAGCACATGAGCATAGGTCACCGTGGTTACTCGTGAGTGTGGAAATGAACAGAAGAGGACACAGGGGGTTCTGGGTGCTGATAAGGTTGTGCTTCTTGAGCTGGGTGTAAGCAGGTAAATAAGTGTGTTTGGTGAAAATTTATTAAGCTGTGAACTCCTGGTGTTTGGGCCTTTATGTATGTATGTGATACTGCAATATCAAGTTTTTAAAATGCCATTTAGCAAGAGATCAAAAATGTGAAGTACCTAGGAATAAATCTAATGATAAAAATACAGAAGACTTCTTCACAGAAGTCTA